ATTACAGTTATTTCCTGTAAATAATATTCAAATACTATTTACTTTTTCTTGTTTAAAAATGATACTACTATCAAGTGGGGGGAGAGAGAGAGGGGATGACACACAGCAAAGGTCAGTGTTGAACTTTGACACGCCCATGTATTCAACAGTATAACTCAGGAACAGAAGAGGAGATTGTGATTTGGTCGACAAAGAATTGGCGACACTAATCTTGGATGGCCACTAGGAATGTATTGCGAGACAATTACATGGCGATGAAAATATGAGAAGATTCAAATCGGTGAGATCAAAAATGCATTATAATACTCTTTTTAAACTGAGGGCGCTATCTACTTCTGACTTTGCTTCTTCAACGTCCTACGTCACTCAAGTCAGTAACTGTATCAATGTGCAAAGCCAGTTTTACTTTTCCAAAGAAAAAGAAAATATGCATAGTTTTGCCATTTAAACTCTATGGGCTTATTCCCAAATAACTGTAGATCTGTATTATTTTCAAGACTCAGTTTCTTCTTCTTCTGTCCTCAGTTGACATCAGATTAATGAGGACTGATCGAGTTTACTCTGTTGAAGTTATCTTGTTGATTAGCCAGACACAGATGTGCTGGGTGGGATATCACTTTACTCCAGCATGGTCCAACAATAGATTGTGGCAGAGGCTTACAAGACCTCGGGGAGCAGTGTGTGGCATTTGCCACTGTGTTGCCTCAGAGGTGCCCTGTACCTGACACACAGTAACAGCAGGACAGGGGAGATGATTTTCAGGGTCCACTTCAAGGCCACAAGCCCAGAAAAGATTGTTGGACACACTAGCATTTTCTTCATTAAAGTAATACTTCACAAAATCTGTGGTCAAACACAAACCATCATTGGAAAAAAATTATATGATATGTAATTCGATTTTTTGGTTTTGACGATGCCCCATCTGCTAATATGGAGGTATCAGGCTTGATGACCTATACTGCGGTCAGCCACCAGGGGTTGATTGAGGTGTTTTGGCTAAACTTTTGGAGAGCTGTCATGTCGTCCATTTTGATATATGTCGATGATCCCACCATGTGCATGACAACTAGCAAACCAATTTGATCACATTCAGATATATATATATATATATATATATATATGTATATGTTCTGCATGGATTTACGCCTGAATAACATGCCTTTTTCCTCATCCAGAAAAGATGGCTCAGGTGAGTCCTGAACCATCCCTTACTTATGCTGCTATAGGCCTAGAC